CATACAGTGGGACATTCACATGGCTCTGAGGGCAGCAGGGTGCTCCAAGGAATGCAGGGGTGGCACAGCCCGCCCAACCATACCTTGACAAATTGGACATCACAAAGGATGTGCACGGAGTAGTCGGGTGTGTAGATGTTATTGCTGCTGCAGTAGAGCTGCATGGTGCTGCCCCCATAGTCACTGTGCTCCCGGTTTGGGGACTCGGAGCGGTTGAGCCCGCTGCACCGCGAGGGGGACCGGTTCACTGGGGAGAGGTGGGAGGCAGAGAGAGGGGAGAGAAGAAGGGAGAAGACATCATGCTTAGTCAGGTATCCTTGTTGCATCCAGCAGCTGTGCCCCATTGGCTCATCCAGGCCTGGAAGAAGCACTTGGGGCAGGAGACCTTCACCCAGCTGTGGGGCAGCAGTGGCCACCTCACCTCCTGCTGTCCTCTTGTCACCCTGCCCCCCCAGCACCCTCTTCCTGCTTTCCCTGTGCCACCCCATGCAGGGTGCAGTGCTGTCAAGGTAAATGTGCCTGCTGCAGGGTGTCCCACAAAGCAAGCAGGGCAGCACACTAACTGATGGCTTGTAATATACAGCATGATAGATTTTGTCTGGTCAGTGATTTATTAGAGAACAAAAGCAGCTTGCTCCTCACATAGGTGACATCAACATATCGCTGACTTTGCTCTGCTGCTAAAATGCCCTCCTGATTTCAGTTCCCAGAAAGCAAGCTCAGCAGGACAGCATGCATTCGGAGCTGTGGCTAACCACGGTCAGCAGCAGCAAGCAGACAGGAAACATAAGCACCACATGCAGAAAATTAAATTTATGGGAAGTGCAAAAAAAGCCCAATCCATTTAAGGCTCTTGTTTCTCCCCACCCCCTTCTTTATGGGTCGAGACAGGTGAGGCACCTGCAGGACTGCCCGGGCCCCTGCCCAAAGCTGGGTGCCATTACCTGGAGAGCCAGCCAGGGAGTCCCCTCTGCTGAAGGCGAAGGTACGGGACACTGAGACAGGCACTGCAAGGAGAGGTGTGGGAGGGCAGGGAGGAGACATGTAAGAAGGAGCACATATGAGGAAAAATGAAGACGTAATTATGCACCAGGCTGGGCCCCAAACACCCTGCTCCTCCCCCAGTGACTCTTCTTTGTGTCATCCCTGGACAAAAACCTAATGCAAATAAACATCTGAGCATAGTGCTGAGTACTGTCAGAGATGCTTCATCCCACTGGGAGCAAAAGTCCAAGTGATAGCAATGGAGAAACGTGCCTGACCTCCTGCTTTGCCCTGCTCCAGGCTTCGCACCTGCCCTGGCCACCAACACCAATAAGGGAGGGTTCGATAAGGGAGTTGTATAACCAGAGTTAATTAATTAGTTGTTAAATACCCAAGAGTTGGCATTTGCATCAGCACGTCATTTCTCCACTGAGCTCTGGAGCAGAGCTGGAGCTGCTCATTGGGGAGCACACCCACTGTCCCTCCATTGCCACGAGAGGTGCCTCTAAATACCTACACAGGAAGGACGATCCCGCCACGCTGCCCACTTTCCGCACATCGTTATCTGCAATGACAACAAGGATGCATGAGCTGCACAGGAGGGGTACTGTGTGCATCTCACCCTTGTCCCCCAGTGAGCAGAAGTGAGGGCAGGGCTGGAGGGCCCACAGAGCCCTTACCCGAGGAGACGACAGCCATGATGGCAGGGACTCCATAGTAAGTGAATGCCCCGTTCTCAAAGCGCAGCCCTTCCTTGCCAACCTCCACCTCCACTTTTCCCTGGAAGGAGGAGGGAAACCCACTCAGAAAGGCCACCCTGTGCCACCCTGCGTCAACCCATGTCAACACGTGCCACCCTGCACCCCTCTGCCCCACACCTGCAGGATGAGCACAAAGTAGTCGACGGGGCGGTTGCGCTGGTAGAGGTAATGCTCTGCTGCCTTCTTGTTCTTGCGGTCATACTTCAGCTCCTGGATGACATTGGGGTGCTTGAGGAGCCGCAGCAGGATCTTCTCGGAGAGGTATGGGGACTTGAAGGGCTCCACCTCTATTGGGAGGCGATACAGGGGTGCTCAGTGGGGCTGGGGGACAATGGGGTGCTGGGAGCCCACCTCCCCACAGCACTTACACCTCAGTGCATGCTGAGCCAAACTCAAGGCCATTGCATCCCATTTCTCCCCCAGGCTAAGGGTACCTGTAGCCATGAAGCGATGTGTTGCCAGCAGGAGCTGCGGGGAGATCTTCACCCTCATCTCGCTGTCTGACAGCCTGAAGATGGAGAAGTCCTGGGGCTTGCGGCCCCGGTGGGGCACACGTTCCTTTTTCCGGTTGTCCGCTGCGGGCAGAGGGTGGAGGTTAACCACAGAGGCACACCCGGCTCACATCGCGGCAGGGAAGCAGAGGGGTGGACAAACCATGCTGGGCAACACCTGGGAGGCAAAGCATGCTGCTGCCTTCGGAACAAGGCTGGGGCCGATCTGCCTCCAGCACAAAATGTTCCTTAACATTGGACCAGCATCCCTCCATCATCCTTGTCTGGGGAAGGACGGCAGTTTGCTTTGCCCCTTTCCTACCCACACCTCTGCCTGTCTGTGGGCTCCCACCCTGGCTCCTGCCACCGCAGTAGCTGCTCCAGGACACTAACTGTACAGATCCGTCTCATCCAGGATCTCAGATTTGATGATCTCCTCAATGACATCCTCAAGGGTGACAATGCCCATCACCTCGTAGAACGGGTCTCCTTCCCCTTCGTTGTTCACCCGCTGCACGATGGCCAGGTGAGACTTCCCTGCAGGGAGAGAGCAGACAGTGAGATCTCCACCTGGCCAGAGGCATCCCGGCGCTGTGAGTCAGTGAGATGGGTCTGGTGGGACAGGGACAAGACCACAACCACACCTCAAAGCTGCCCAATGCCTGAACCAGCTGGTCCCTCCACCAGCTGTGCCCTGCTTATCCATGACCTCACTGGCATGAAAAAGCTCCAATGGAGGAAGGAGACATCCTCCAGCACAGAAATATGAGTGTGTCTTTGGGCTCTACTGGTGTCCCCCATCCCCCAGTGTTTGCTCATTCTGTTGTTAATTATCTTTCCTACCAAACTGCCAGGATTAGCTCCCCCACTATCCATCACTGTCTGGACGCTACTAAAGCCTCTCCTAAAACAGACAAAGCCTCCAGCCTTTCGCAATGGCAGCTGATTTTAATGCAGAAATGCATACGTTTGTTTGCAGCTTTCAGCTCGTCTCCTGCAGAACTCCTGAGCGAACCATCTGGACATGGAGCCTGAACACTTTGCAAGCCATCAGCTTACACGAGAGCATCTTCCCCAAACCCTGCCACGATGACACCGCATTACCTTACATAGGCTGGGACCAGAGCTTTCCTTCAGCTGAAGTGACAGCGACTCCTGCACAGCAGTGCCTATGGTTCCCAATCACAATGTCATCCTCCCTGAGCTGGTGGCTGTGCTGACACACTCTCAGCCTTCTTGCTTTTGGCACCCTTTGAGCATCACTATCTGTGTTCACATGTCCAGCTCTCTGTAAGCTGTTTTGACTTGCTCAGCTTCTCTATTCCCTTGCTGTCTGTTCTGGTCTCTGCTCCTCAGCAGCTCACCTCGAACCCAGCCTCCAAACCCTTTACAACCTTTGGGTTTCCAGCTCAGACCCACCAACAGCACTGCTCTGCTGACTTCCTGCAGCTCCTGAATGGGTTCTGAACCTCTTGTTTTGCTGAAAACTAAAAACATCTTTCATCAGCACCACATCCAACAGCTTCCTTCCTGCTTGTTCTCCATCTCTCTGGAGTCTCCCCTTGCAGCACCCTGTGCCTGCAGCATGCAAATTCTAATCCTACTACGGGCACTGCGGATCCCGAGGGAAGCTAAAAACACCCTTTGCTCCCCCAAAACCTGGAGCTGATCTCCTGAAGCAGCAGTGGTTACCCACGGTGGGACAGGGATGGGCAGTCTGGAGCTGTCCTCATGGGGAACAGGCGACCTTCCAATAACCCTGCCCTGGATCTGGGACAAGCAAATGATGTTTCTCAGACAGAGATCAGCTTTATACATTGCTCACATTAAAGTTTGGGCATTTTCCACAGGATAAATTCCCTCCTCCTCACACCAAGCTTTCATTGCAAGATTTCAGAGAGCAGCTCACCACCTCCCACGCCTACAGAATTAGAAACGAGAACATCACATCACAGCAAGTAGCAGTGTTTTTCTTCCCAGAAAGCTGGAGATGCACTTTAAAAACCCAAATCAATAGCCTGGAGGTGCCGAACTTTCAGTGCGTTCCTTGGGCCAGGCAATTTCCCCTGTTGTGCACAGCAGTTTGTGCACATTGTGTGTTCCGTGGATAGTAAAGCAAAATGGCTCAGGACTTGAAAAGCAAAAAGAAGCCGAGTTGGCTGCAGCACAGCAGCAACAGCTACGTTTCATCTCAGTAAAGTCCAACTTTTGAAAGCAGCTCCTTTGCCAAACCCCACTCCCAAGCGCTGGGGCCATCTGCTCTCCTACGAGCCCTCGGGTGAGTGCAGAGAGGGGAGAAGTTATTTCTTTTGGCCCCGAGCTCATTGCTAATGACATTTACATGCAACCCAAAACCACCAGGCCCTTACAAAAAGCTTAGGTGCTACTTAAAGGCAGTCAGAGAGTAATGGAGGCCATTCTTCTTTTGGCCAAGCACCTCCACTGATGCTGTAATTTACAGAGAAACAGGACTCCAGTCCTATGCTCACACAGCAGCTAATCTGATTGCTTAGAGAGAACCCGGCACCATTAGGCTGGGAGGGTCTGACCACACTGGGGCAGAGCCAGGAGCACTGTCAGCCCGCTCAGGAGTTTCACAGAAAATAAACACTCAGAGCTATGCTATAAACCCCCAGCTCTGCAGGCTGACACGCAGGTGAGCAGCACAGCAGGTGCCCAGCAGTGGGCTGGGCTCAGCCCCCACTCCCCCACAGCTGTACCCAGCTTTTCCTTTGGGTCTGGTTTCCCAGCTGAGGGAGATGATCTCATTTTCAAAGTGCTACTCTTGGAGCAGACCTTAAAATTTGGCAGTGAGGTGCCTTGCTTGTGGCTTGGGTGTGCAGTTATATGTGGGAGCTGCTGTGTTCACCCAGAGAATGGCTGGTGAGTATGGGAGCAGGTACAAGGGCTGGAGCTGGGCAAAGTGGAAGCTGTGTCTGAGGCAGGGTGATATAGGGACAGTGCAGGGGGTGGCAGCTCTTCTCTAGCATCATCCTGGAGATTTGCTTCAGTTGGAGTGCAGTCAAGAGAGATCTATCACTCAAACAAAACAACAAGCTTGATCTAAAACAGCTTTAAGAGCTGTGAAACTGATCCCAAAAGCTGCACTATTGTAGCCACTGCTTGATGGTTCCAGTGGAATGAATTAAAAGGGCTAACAGCCCTACCACTGCTGTCATATGTGGCTTCATGGAGGTATCAGTGATGCAGCAGTGAAACACTTGAGAATCAAAGCCAGTTTGGCAAATGCTAGAGCAAATGAGCAACTAACTTCATGTGTGCAAAGGGCTGCTCTGTACAGGAAGCCCATAGGTGACTGAGTGCCTGCTCAGTGTGAATGCAACGGTAGTGAATTCTTTATGAGCTATGCAAAAGCTGCTCTTTTCAGTCAACAGCTTTGCTGAGAAGTTCATGCCTTAACAGTGCTGAATTACACAGCTAAAGCTTCTAGAAGGAGCTGATACCTGAACAGAAAGCTGAAGCTTTGTGCCCAATTTTAGGAGCCTTGATTTCTGGCGGTAATGGATCCACTCCAAAGTGTCCTTCCTGATGGGAGAACATAGTCTGAGCACATGGAAATGCCTTTGCTTTCAGGAAAGAAAGTGCTGCTGGCTGTAAATATAGCCCAGGATCCTTCCTTACTGTTTTTTTTATGTAGGTGCTCTGCCAGAGGAATGCTGAAGATGCCTTAGTGTTGTCTCTTGTTCCATGAGATGAGCACTAAGCAGGTAATTTACTTTTGTGCATCAGGGTGATGTGTGGGCACCCAGATCTGTGAGGAGTCAGGGCTATGAAAAGGGGAGAACAACACAACCTTACCTAGCCCAGGCCTTTCTTGGGGATAGGAACTCCATCAACATTCTTCTGTTTCTACTGGAGCACAAAAGTCTCTTGTACTCTGCTCTGGTGCTTTTCCTAATCCTAGGGAGAACTTGGGGAAAGATGGGGGCATGAGCTTTTTGGAGCAGCTGATGTATTATGGTTGGCAAAACAGATGGAGAAGGACAAGAAGGAGATCAGAACAGACACAATCTCATCTTCCATCAGCTGTGTGTTGGCCTGCTGGGTATGCTGCTCCCTGCCCACAAATGATAAACCCAAAACCTAAATATTTCCAAAGGGGAAATGCAGAATGTTTTTTAGAGACGTCCTTGTTGTAGGCCACTTTATTCCTACCCATGAGGCCAGGAGGGAAGTGCCTCCCCCCAGCCCTGAAGGTCCCAGCTCAGTGCTGGGGCAGGGAGCAGCGCAGCACTCACACATTGAGGCTCAGAGCAGCGTTCTGGGGGGAAATGAGAGTTGCAGGAGGAGCTGCAGCATGATTCACCACCACCAGGTTTTGTGTAGCAGCACCTCACCCACTTGCAGCCTGGCAGCTCAGGGTTCCTGTAGGCTCTGGGCTCACACAGCTGGAATATGAGCACTGCCTCACCAGGATGCCCAATAACTGTGGGTTCAGGAGGAGGGCTGCAAGAACAGCAGTTGAAATAGCACTGATCCCAGCTCCTGGCACACATAAGAACCTTTCTCAGCTTTTTTCGATTGCAGACATCTAATAGAGGCTGTGGAGTATTTATAAAAGCAAAGACAGAGCCTGGGGCAGAACTGTTCCCTGCTCAGCAGGAAGCTCTCTGCTGGAGGATTTACTTTTAGCAGCTTTTAAAAGGCACCAAACCATCAGAGAATAATTGGAGCTGCACCTCAGCCTCCGGCCTTTGGAGAGATGATGATGGCATGAGCAAATTTCCACTGCTCCTGTGCCAGAGGAAGGTGACCTTCTGAAAGGTGCCACTTCTGCACACAGAGCTCCCCCTAGGAAACGTGCTGGCAAAAATCCATAAATGACTTTTAATAGAGAGAGACTGTGACTTCCCCAGTGCCACCTACAGAGCAGGGCGTTGCGGCTGGAGGAAGGGCTCCCCGTGGCCGCAGGGCTGCAGGCATTGCTGTGGCTACCTGAGCAATGGGATGGGGAGAGCAGGTTGTACTGACCACAGCATTGCATGCTGCCTGTATGCATACAGCTCTCTTCCTGGCTCTGTTCTCCTAAGGGCAGTTTTCTTTTAGTGGGACCTCATCTGCCCCTCTGCGTCGTTTTGCTTTGCTAAACTCGGTGCAGCAACCTGCAGCTGATGGTCTGCACAGGTAGGACTGCACAGTGAGGGAGAAGGAATGCATTGGGTAAACAGGGATCATGCAGTGTGAGAACAGCAAGCCAGAGGGGAGGGAAAAAGGACAGAGCTGAGTGAGGTGTGAGAGAGAGTCGCAAAGCACTGCGTTTAATCATACACTGACATTTTCAGTAGGAACAAATGTTTGTGTACTATGGCAAGGAGTTCAGGCAGGGAAACTGAGCGCAGCTTTTGCATTATGCGAAAACTGACATTATAGATGTAGAGAATGTGGCAGAACGTTAATCACTGCTGAAACACAGATCTGGAAGTAAATATTGCTATCCAGGAAGGGAAGATTGAAAACCTGGTGGGTATTTTGTATAAGCATGGCAATAGCCAAAAGAAACCAGGGATAGAGTAACTGTTAATCATGGGAGAAGGAAAAGAAAGTTGGGAAGGAGAGGTTGCTGTAGAAGTTTGTTGGGGATGGAAGTGCTTCTCCTTAGTTGGGACTTTCATTTCCTCGAAAGAGACTAGATCCTATCAGCGGGAGCAGTTGCTGTCCTGCTTAATGTGTGAAGTGCTTAATGCCCTCATTAGCGGCTCAGTGAGCCAACCAGCCCACTTGCTAATTAGCAGAGGTGTCACAGAAAACCTGGAAGTAGAAAGCAACCTTGACTGGATCCAACAAGACACTTTGCTGTAATTCAAATGGACACAGAAAATGAGACAGTGATGAAGTTTCTTAATAACAAATGGGAAATCTTTATTTTAGAAATTAAGTAGTCGAGTGAACTGGGTTGGAGGCAGCTGGGAGCCAACATATGTGGCAGTGCAGGAACTGGAGCCTTTGAAACTGAGAGAAGAAGAGTTAGGTGGGGCTCAAATCTGGGGGTGACCGCCTACAGACACGAGGTACTGGGGGTGAATGAAGGGCTAGAAATAGGGGAAAGATGCGTTAGAAGAGACCAGCAACACCAGGGGATAAGAACATGGTGGAGGGAAGAGCTGGAACTACTACACATTGAGCTGGGTTAGGTTGTAAGACCAAAAGCAGGAGTTCTCAGCCATGTGGTTAGAAAACACAAGGAGAAATGATGGAGGAGCAGACAGAATATTGAGGGACAGCTCTACAAAGGAGCTACAGCAAAATGCCCCAGAAGACTGTGATGGCAAACAGATGTGGGGGAGGAAGAGCCTGAAGCAAAATGCCAGGAGTTTAATGGAGTAAAGCAGCAGAAGGTAAAGAACCTTCACTAGAGATGGGGGACAAGTATGGGGAGAGCTGGTGGCAAGGTGTGTGAGTGCACTTGTCACTTGAGGGAGTGACACACAGAAAGCACCTTCAAGGAAAGGGCAGGAAGCTAAGCAAGCACAGGTCCATTCCTATGGGTCTATTGATCCATAGGGTACCAGGCTGTCGAACAAATCTGGAAAGAGAAGTAGCTGAATGCAACAAAGTAAATCAGATAAAGTGCAGGAAGGTTGATGGGGAAGACTGTGCCGAAGTCATCTGACATCCCAGGGAACAGCTGACTCTGGACAAGGCAGAGGTGGGGAGATCTCAAGTGAACTTTGTAACATATATGCAGGAAACCAAAGTGTAGAAAGAATTGCAAGGCATACGGTGCTTGGTGCTGTGCAGAGCTCCTCATCCTGTGTCCCCTGGAGGTGGTGGGGATGCAGAGATGACCTGCATGTCCCCATATGCCCTCCTGGTATGCAGAAAACCGGTCTGGCGCTGCCCCCCAGCTCTGAGAACCAGCAGGGGATGACTCAGAGGCTTTCTCTGCATGGCATGGAGCAGATTGGCCCTTCTCACATGATCAGCTCTGCTTGTGGCAGAGCAGCTGCAGGCAGCTGGGAGCTGTGTTACATAACGCAGGCTGGCACTGCTGCAGCCATTTCTTAAAGGTTTGCTCAGCGTGGTGTGACGTACTGAGCAACACAGCAAAACGCTCACGGTTCCCAGCGGGGGGAAAAGCCACATGCTGTGTGTATTCACAAGGAAGAGTTAATGAAATACAGCACAGCTTCACTGGGGCTGCTGGCAGCTCTTTATGAATACTGCCACAGCTGTATAGAAAGCAGAGCTCTTTCTAGGGGTTTAGGCTGTTTTTCTTTAAACCACATGCTCAGAACCACTCTCTATCTGCTGCTTCTCCCTGCTGAGCTGAAAACACGAGAACTGAGTAACGAGATGTCATCTGCTCTATGTTCACCTGTGCAGAACAGAGTGATGAACAGAGGGGTGGGCAGGCCACTCTGCACCACCTTGAGATCCTGCGGGATGCCTCATCCAGAGCACAGCAGCCACCAGTGCCAAAGGCACTCATGACCTCGGTAGAACCATAGGCATGGCCACGCAGCCCCCCAGGGCTGACTTACTAGTGGACTCCAAGCACATGCAGGGCCTGACTCCCCCCAGTACCCGTGGTACCTGCCGGGTCCTGTTGGAGGGTGACACTGGGTGGGCTGAGCGGGGACCGGAGGGGATACAGGGGGAGCCCAGGGATGGCAGCCCTGCAGCCTCACCCTTCTTGAACTCCTCAAGCAGCGTGTCGAGGCGCGTGTCATTGAAGACGCAGTGGAGCGGGCGGCGGTAGAAGCGGGTGACGGTCTGCAGCGGGGTGCAGTCATCGGGGTCAACAAAGGCCAGGTCTTTGACAAAGAGCAGGTCGACGATGTTGTCACGCCTGTCACCCTCGTAGACAGGGATGCGCGTGTAGCCGGAGCGAAGGATCTCGGAGACGGTGGCGAAATCCAGCACAGCGTCGGCACGCAGCATGAAGCAGTCGGCCAGCGGCGTCAGCACGTCCTCCACTACTTTGGTGCGCAGCTCCAGCGCTCCCTGCACCATGGCCAACTCCTCCCGCACCAGGTCGCCGTGGGGCCCAGCGGCGCGCAGCGTCTCCAGCAGCCGCTCCCGCGTGGAGAAGACGCTGAGCTCCTGCCGGAGCGCCCAGTCCAGCAGCCGGCTGAGCGGGTAGCACAGCGGGAAAGCGGCCAGCATCAGCAGCCGGGTGAGGCACAGCGTGCGCGACGCGATGGCCAGCCCGTGCCGCGAGCACACCGAGTAGGGCAGCACCTCGCCGCCCAGGAAGACGGCGGCCGCGCACAGCAGCACCGGCAGCCACGGCGCTCCACGCGGCCCTCCGCCAGCCGCCGGCCCTCCGCCGGGCAGCGACGCGCACAGCCAGCCGGCCAGCGCCGCGTTGGCCCCCGCCTGGCCCAGCAGCAGCGTGCACAGCAGGTAGGTGCCTCCGCCGCCGCGCACCGCCTGCACCCGCCGCGCCTGCTCCCGCTCGGCGGCCGAGCCGCTGTTGCGCAGGACGCGGAGCTCCAGCGGGTCCAGCGAGAGCAGCGAGAGGCGCAGCCCGCTGAACAGCGCCGACAGCCCCAGCAGCAGCAGCGCGCCCAGCGCCCGCAGCCAGCCCGCCTCGGGCAGCGGCAGCAGCCAGGCGCCCAGCCCGGGGGAGGCCGGCCGCACCCGCAGCAGGAAGCCGCCCGCCGCGCCGTGATGCGCCCACGCCCGCCCGTCCCACGCGCACAGCGAGAAGAGCCGCCCGCCCGGCGCCGCCGCCGCTTCGCCCTTGCGCGGCTCTCGCACCCGCACCTCGGCCAGCGCCGACCCCGCCGCGCCGCCCGAGCGCAGCGGCCCCACCACCTCCACGTCCGAGGCCCAGGCGCTGCGCTCCCGGCACCGCTCTGCCGGGCCCCGCGCCGCTTTCCCCCCTCCCGCCGCCGCCGCCTCCTCGATGAAGACCAAGCGCGGCTCCCTCTCGCCCGCCGGCCCGCGGCTGCCGTTGCCCTCGGGCTGCGGCTGGAAGTAGAGGCGCAGCAGGAAGCGGCTGCCCTCGGCCGCCTGCACCGCGCCGCCCTCCAGGGACACCCGGCCCGGCGCCGTGTCCTCGGGCCGCAGCCCCAGCAGCCAGGCGGCCCCGGCTGGCGGCCGCGGGGACAGCGAGAAGAAGAGCAGCAGCACCGCGCCCCGGCTCCGGCTCCAGCCCCAGCCGCCGCCGCCGCGCCCCGGGCCCGCCGCCGCCATGCCGGCACCGCAGCGCCCGCACCGCACCGGGACTGCAGCGGGGGAGCCGGCGCGGCGCGGCGAGGAGCGGAGCGGAGCGGAGCGGCGGCACACGTGGGCCGGGGGGCGGGCAGCCGCCGCGCCACGTGCGGTTGGAGCCGGCCCGCGGGAGGGGCGGGGGCAGCGTTGCCGGGAAAACACGCGTGGGGAGCGGTGGGGTGCGGGGTTCGGCAGTGGGGTGCCACGGGAACGCCCGTCCCCGCTTCCATCCGTTTAGCATTCCCTGGCTAAGGAACGAACGGAGCGCCCTGTAATGAAGGTTTATTCTCATTTCTGTATTGCTGTGGCTAGAGCTGGTGGAGAGCATGACGCGCAAGGGGATCTGACAGCTTCAGAAGTGGGTGCCGAAGGAGTTCCGAAGGAGGCGTTAGCTCTTGCTAGCAGGTAATCTCGTCTTGAAACTGTTGGGTCTTCCCTGGTCCGACATCCAGGACAGTCTTGAAACAGAAAAAAAGTCACCGCTGACGTCTGTGATGGGCTCACTAAGAGCAAAACAGGACGCCTGCAGGAAAGCATGATAGAGTCCCCCCAAATTCTCTGTGGTTGCAGGGAGGGCAGGCTGAGACATTCCTGCATCCTTTTCCATCCTTCTCCATTCCCCGTGTTCTCAGCAGGGCAGAGCCGTGTGACACCAAAGGGTAAGTGCCAGGAGCCCCACGAGCACTGAGCTTTTGGCTCTGGTAGGAGACACTCTTCTCCATCTCCAGAAGAGGCAGGTTTTTTTAATTTTTATTTTATTTAATTTTAATTTTATTTTATTTTATTTTTTCCCCGAAGCTGATGGGTTCCCCGGGATTCCGGTGGCTGTGTGTTCGCTCCTTCCGTTAAGCAGGTACCCGCAGCACGTTCCTTCCCGCAGTTTCCTGGTGCCCCGCGCTCCCCGGCCGCTGATCCGGCTTGTGCTGAGGCCGCGGCGTGCGGGAGGAACCACCAGGTGGCGACGTCTCTCCGTGCTGCTGCTGCGGGCTTTGGTGGCTTTTCCGCCCTTCGCTCAGAAGCAGGAGCAGACGCAGCTTGCTAGCTTGCTGCCTACCGGCACCGCTCAGTGCACGCTGGCAGAGCCGCCCCATGCATTGGAGAGGCAGCTTCCCGCTTTGCAGGAGGCACAGCACTGCTGACCTCATCAGGATCCCACCTCGTGCGTTGACGTGGAATGAAATCACCGTGGAGCTGGGACCTGGCAGTGAGCTGCAGGGCTGTGTGTGACAAAGAGAGCAACCTGAAGGCAGGGGACTGCGAAACCTCCGTGACGTGCTTTGGAGAAATACGTGGTCAGAGGGTGAATACGCAGAGGAGAAGGAATGCTCAGTTTGGGATGAGCTGCCCTGGTTCTGCAGCCCCAACCGCCATCTGTTGCGCTGAGCTCCATCTAGCTCAGGCCATAACTGTGCTCTCACCAGATGTTAGCTTACATGAGCTGCATGTAAAAGGGAACTGGTGCGAGAGCTGTGGCCCGAAGTGCTTTCAGTAGGGTCTGACCTGCCGCAGTGACGACGTGCTAGCCGGCCTCTCGCTGCGGGGATGCGCTCCAGAAGTCGCAGGTGTGTGGCTGGAGCTTGGTCAGTGAGTCAGGATAGGAAATATCTTCCAAAGCTCCAAATAAGACAAAACAAACTGAGCTTTAGCACATGCTCAACCGATTGAGCCTTTGGCAAAGTATGACATGAATTTTCAGGGCTCTCACTGAGGCTGCATCTTGCCTGCTGCGTCCTTCGGCGCCGATCCTCCAGAACAGGGTGAGGAGCTGCTGTGGGATGGCCGTGGGGATGGAATCGTTAGCAATTCCAGATGATGATGGGAAACAGAAGGAGTGAAGAAAAGCCGGATTGATCTATTTATTTATTTTTTTTCCTCCAGAAAGTGGGAATAAAGCTACGAGCGCAGAGCTGGCTGCTCACGGAATATCTGCAGCGTGATTGGCACTAATGCTCTGCAGCCAGTGGGAGAAGATACGTTACCCAAGTAAGTGAAATGAGCACCGAGATGGGGGATATATGATAACTTCTGAAGCAGAAGGAATAAGACCTCAGGCAACAGAGCTCCAAACAGCGCGCTGTCTTTTTTCCATTTCTGAGCCCGTGGTGTTCAATTAACCCCTTTTCTCTGTGCTACGTTCTCTATCCTGCAGGCTTGCAGAGCTTTACCCACCCTTCTGGCTGATGACATGTTAAACACTTGGTTTGCGATCATCAATTTTCTCCTGAAATGATACCCAAAGCTCTGCTGTTTTGATTTAAAGTGATTTCGAGTCTTGTAGTTAACAGTTAAGGATAGTCCTGTCCAAGAGAATCTAACTTGAGGAAGCCATGAAATTTAATTCATTTCTGCAACTTAAATATATAATCAGTGACATATGGGAATACTAAATACGGGGGGAAATGTCATTGCTTAAGTAAAATTTCTGCATTCAGTCAAAACCCAGCAGTTGTAACATCAAACTGTACTTTCCATTGTACAGGAAATAAAGCATCGTTTTTTCAAAGAAAATAGACATGCAATTGCATGCCTGTTATGTTGCTTATACAGCTTTATGCTTAATTTTCTCCACGTTGCTGTTAGTGAAGGGCCAACAGAAGGGAAACTGAAGGGAGAAGGAACAACGCAATACACCGAGCCTGCTGGAACGTGCCCAGGAGATGGCTGTGCTGGGAACACAGGCTCTTTCCCTGCTGTTGTCCCTGTGCCTGGACCAGGGGCACCGTGCTCCATGGGACCTTCCCCAGAGGGAGCTTTGCAGCTTATGGTTACACGAAAGATTCTGATTTTTTTCCTCCTCCCTCACCCCAGCAGTGTCTCCAAGAGCCTTTTGGCTGCTGCTTCTTCCGCTGAGCTCCAGCTCCTCATTGGTCTCCGCACACAGCCCCTTCCTCTCTCTCTGTAATTGCCTTGTTTGCTCCTCCAGCCTTGCACTTCATCCATCTTCCTATTTCCCCTCTCTGATCTACTCCTCATGGCCGCTTCCTTCAGTTTTGCTGCTGGAATGTGAAGCATCTCTCCAGAAAAATAGAAGGTCTCTGTGAACTTTTACCACCCCCCTGTATTCCCTCTCCTTCACCTCTATCGTCTCCTCACAGATGGTGGGACAAGAGCTCACATTCGTTCTCAGGCTTGTAACATTGGCGCGTTCCCTTCCCTTGGTTTTTTCACATGATGATGTGAAATGAGGATAATTCTGCCCATTTCTCTGCTCCTCAGGGCTGGGCTCAGTTTGAGGAAAGTGCTTTTGAGGCTGTTGTGATGCTTGGAGCGCTGCTGTTGCTTTTGTCCCCTGACTACGGTTAATTGCGGCCACATTTGCTTCTACTCAAGATAGGAAAGACAAAAGCTGCATCAGACGCAGCCATCGATTAGCACAGCTCTCGGGTCTGAAGGGCATCATCTGCCTGAAGGCAGCATTATACATCGAGATATTCCCTGCCATTATCTGCTTGTTTTCTTTTCCTTTTTGCTGAAGAGGCACCGGGCAAAGGGGTTTCTGTCTGCTGGGAGGGCACCTGCCTCCCCAGCACAGCCTTGTGGGAATTGCCCATCTCAGCTTTTTGGAGCCCTGGAGCACCTGCTTGAAGGTGGGCACCTGGGAGCAGCTTGTTCTCTCCAGGGGCAGCCCGGCAGAGTGTGGGCCCCTGGGCTGGTCAGACCACGCACTGAATCAGATGGATGGAGGGAAGGAAGAAGAAGAGTTTATTCTGCTGGAGCAGTGGTACCAAGCTGCTCATGGCATAAAGTTACACAAAGAAATAGAATACATAATTCATCATCAACTGCCTAAAATCTAGCTTTCTTTCTTCTGTGTCTTGTTGTGTGTCTGCCTGCAAACCCACAGCCTTCATGGGACTGCTGCCTCCTTTTTGTTCCCGTCCTTCTTTTTTATAGCTCTCTTAGGCAGCTAAGGAGGGCGGGTTAACCCTTGAAGGAAAGCCCAACACCGCCGTGCTATGGCCACATTTGGAGGTACCACTCTGTGCTCCTTCCACGCTGGTGATAATGCAGATGCAGCATTGCCAGATGTGCTGTCCGGCCAGGCGGTCGTGGTGATGGATGCCCTGCTCCTTGCATGCAGGAAGGGGGAAGCTCTCCGTGGGTTTGCCTTCCGCATGCTGGTGCGGGGCTCCCCTCCAGCCAGGCTTCCTAGGGCAGACAGATGGTTTTGCTTGTTGCAGAGCTTCACAGGACACCTCCATTAAAGAGCAATGCGTGGATACCTCACTAAATCAAGCTGCTGTCTGTTCACTCAGGTGATACATCGGCATGGTAGGAAATGGTTTCAGCAGCAGGGTTCACGCTGTGCAACACCAACCTTTAGGCACTGGTAACCTCAGGAGGTTGCATTCCAGACATTAGGTCTCTTGCGGTGAAATAGATGGACGCTGCAGTGCAGAAGGAGCAAAAAAAAAAACAACACCTCAATAGAAAGAACTGTGCTATTATGGGGTCTGATGGCCGCTTTTAGTGTCCTTGCTCCTCTCAGAAATCATTTGAGGAGAATAGAAATCATTTGGGGAGAACTCGTATGTCAGGCCGTAGTGCAGGGCAAGCGTTTAAGAGTCTGAAAAGAAAAGCTTTTGAGCAAATTGTCTACGGATAGCATTCTTCATTTTCACTAGCTGAGTTTTCTCCTTGATGGCTTCTTTGAGAGCATCCATAACTCAGGTTTACTTGACAGCAATACAGAAACAGACATGGTTGATATCTTGGGAATCAAAGACATGACGGTTTTTGTTTTGTAAAAAGGCTGTCTAGCTTGTTTTATCCTTCCTAGCCTAATGGAGGTTTGTTTGGTACAGCACATCCTCTGACCATAATAACTTTCATCCTTTATGAGCAGACGTTTATTTTCTAGGGAACGCAAAACGTCTCTCCTGAGGAGGTTTTTCCTATTTTCCTTTGGGCTGACATGTACAGCTGGAGACCTCCGTTTAATTCATCTTCTAGACTTAATTTATCTCCTGATTCTTCATTCCTTCCCTCTGTCAGCCCTGCCGCACAGAGGTGGAACCCTTCCACAGCCGCTCGGATCATTTACAGCAGCCACCTCCACAGGCAGTGGCGAGGCAAAAATCGAAGTGAGCACCTCTGATAACAACGTTAGCTGCAGATTTCAGCGTTTGTGAGCTGCAACTGACTGGGGGGTGCCAGACATTTGCAGACACACACAAGACAGGCCCCTGCTCTGATCGGCTTGTAAATTAAAGGAAAGTACATTGGCAAGAACAGAAGGGATGATACGACATGCTTTAAATAGTTTATTGGGAGCTGGAGGATTGCTGTTTATTTGGTGACGTTGGGAAAATATTTAATGTGCTTCACTTAAACTTAAACTCTTTATAGCAGTGCTTCTCCTCCCCCGGTTTTCTTTCCCAATGACTGTTTTGGAGATTAAAACCAGCACGTTGAGAGTAGACAGAAAATAGAGAAACATACTTCCAGATCGACCAGAACCGCGAGTAAATCTTCATAGATACTTCTTTTCTTTTTTCTTTTCTTTTCTTTTTTTTTTTTTTTTTTTTTTTCCTTTTTTTGAGCGAGCCAGGCTTTCGAAAGCAATTATGGTAACAGAAGAAAGGAGCGGCGCTTCGCACGGCGGAGCCAGAGCCGCTGCTGTAAGCTGAGCTCCGAGCGCCGCTGCGCTCCGGCAGTGACACCGGCGTTGGGGCCGCCCCGTCGGACGGCTCCGCCCGTGCCCCGACGGCAGCGGCGGCCCCGACGGGAGCGCTGCCCGAGCCCTGCGGCCGCGTGTGGGCTGATCCCAGCGCCGGAGTCCGCCTTCAGAGCGGGGACGGGTTCGAGGGGTGTTTCGTGCTAAACACGTTTCTCCTCCGAAGTATCGTGTTTGTAACGGAGAAGGTTAAGGGGGATGATTTGTTTTCTTTCTTGTGCTTCACTATGTAACACGTCGGAGTTTCGTTTTGAAATAGAAGCAGGGGGAGAGATATTAACTTTCGGCCTGCAGTCACAGTGCTTATCGGCCAACAGATGACGGTGAAGCTCTGCTATCTTTTGATCATACAGAAAACAAATAAGCAACAATAAAAAAAGACCAACAAAAAATAAATATCACAAAACAAAATAATAATAATAAGCCCAAACAAACAAAGGAGACAATATGGGAACTCGTGTCCCTCGTTCGGAGGTGACCCACAGACCAAACTACTGCAGCTCCGGGGCCAGCGAATTGCTATTGCAAACTGCGGCTGGAGCGTTCTCAGCCGAACACAACTTTCCAACCTTAAATTGCCTTCTTCCTGTCCCGGGATGCCAGGGCTTTGCACAACTGAAATTGCACGGCCCTTTCCCCCGGATCCTCTTACTTCCACAGCGCTCCATCCCCGCTGCCTGCCGCCGGGCACCGCGCGCTGCTTTTTGTCGCCGGGTGCTGCGACGTGATCCCCGTTCCCCGGCCGTGTCCCCCCCAAATCCTATTTCGTGCACCTCCAGCCGAGCCCTCGCAGAGGCAGGGGTTGCCTCATCCTTTCGCCGTACATCGCTCCCCACCGCGCGCTCGGCTCGGGTCGGCCCTTCCGTGCTGTATACCGGGCCCAGGCATCCCTTGATGTTGTTTCCTCGCCTCTTTTCTCTTCGCAGTTCCGGCCGCCCCTGGCCTCGGAGTGCGCTGCCCGCAGGTGGGTGCCGTTCCCTCGCCGCTGGGCCCGGGCCCGTGACCAGCAGATGGAGCTGCGGGCCCCGGCCCCTACTCTGCGGGCGCCGACGGCAGCGGGCCCGGCGGGCGCGGCACGAATCAGCCCGGACGCGGCCCCGTTCTGTCGCCGGGCGAATGGTGCCGGGGCGGAGCGCGGCGGCGGCGGAGGGCCCAGGTAGGGCGCGTTACGGTGCTCGCCGGCGTGCGGAGCCCGGGGCTGATCCGGGAGGCGGCTGCCGGCGGGCCGGGATGCCCGCACGGTACGGGCGGTCGCCGAGGTGTGAGTCCCCACGAACCCCCTGCTCGATGTCACCAACATCCGCTCGCCGGCGGCTCCCGTCCGGCGATCCCGGTCCTCCAGGCAGCGGCACCGGCTCTGTGACACCGCAGGTCCCACCGAACCGCGGCGTTTTTTTGCGCCACCGGTGCGGCCGTTTCCGCGCCGGACGCATCCTTCGTGACCCCTCGCCACGCTCCGCCGCTGGTCGAACACCGGCGGGTCCCGAGTGCGGCAGAGGAAGGCAGCTGCCATCCCAACCACCGCGGGCCGCTTCCCCGCTGTATCCCAGCGGCCACTGTGCGCCGGCCGGGCCGATCCGGGGGTTCCGGAGCGAGGACTCCCCGCTCCCGCTGCGTCCTTCGCGTTCCGCGCTCAGCCTCGGTTCCCGCAGCCCAGCACCGCGACCCGAAGCGGGCCACCCCGCCGCCTTACCGCTCCTCGCTACCGAGCTCCCCGGGGTCCCGGGCTCCGGTCCGGTTCGGTCCCTCCGGGTGCCAGGGCGAAGCGAAGCTCGGAGCTAGCGAGTCTCGGGAGGGCCCCGAGCCGAGGGGGTTAAACCGGGAGCCTCCC